TTTTTTTTTTAAAAAGATACCTTAGCAGCACTGATTTAGCCCATCGAACTAGATTGCTGGTGTGTTGTCTTCCTGTCTCGTCCTGTGCATTGGTTTTAGGCCATCACTATCTCTGTCTTCATTATCTATGCAGATGTTCCAAGTTCTACATGCGGAGAAACCCCTGTATGTCCAGGCAAATAATTGTGTGGAAGCCAATGAGTGGATAGATGTACTTTGCAGGGTTAGCCGGTGCAACCAAAACCGGCTCAGCTTCTATCATCCCTCCGCATTCCTGAATGGAAACTGGCTCTGCTGCCAGGAGACCAGTGAACACACTCTGGGCTGCAAGCCATGCACTGCGTAAGTTTCTTTCTGGTGAAAGCAAAGGTTTCAAATGTATGTCCATACACTGAAGTATTTGTGTAGCCATTATAGGAAATGAAGTTCTGTGCATGCTCTTACATGTATAAAACACTGTGTAAACATGTATAAAACACTGTGTTGCCTAAAGAAAGCCAGACACAGACACCACATTTTATATGAATACATTTGTGTGAAATGCCCAAACCAGGTACTTCACAGACAGGGACTACAGAGAGGGGACAAAAATGGGGGCTGCTAATGGGTATGAGTGGATGGTAAACATGTTCTGAAATTAATAGTAGTTTAAACAAGTCTGTGTATACGGGGGAGTTTTTGGTTTTTTTCAAAGCTGTGTGTCTAAATTTTTTTTACAAAAAACCTTATCACCTCAAAGTTCTCTCCATTACACTTAATACATTTGTCAAATCTGTGATTCCATTTTTGGAAGCAATTTTCAAAAGCATCTATTTGGATGGCTGACAGCACCGCCCTCATTTTTTCTTCACCTCTTCTATGCCATCAAATCGCTTCTTTTCATGTGCCTCTTCATTCATGGAAACAAAAAGAAGTCACACAGAGCAAGATCAGGTGAGTCAGGTGTGGGGGCAAGAGAGACATGCTGGGTTTTTTTGCCCAAAACTGGCGCACTGAGATGGCTGCGTGAGCAGGTGCATTGTCATGGTGGCAAAACCAGTCCCCCGTTTGCCACATATCGGTCCTTTTTTGGTTGCACACTGTTAACAATCTTTTCAGGACCTCTAAAGAGTAAGCATGATGAACAGTTTGACTTGGTGGAACAAACCCCAAATGAGCATTTGTCTTGATCTTTGATTTAACTTGACAAGCTTTTTTTGGGTGAAGTGATGATGGCATGCATCCTCCACTGGTTGATGGATGTTTGCTTTCTGGGTCATAAGAATAGCACCATATTTGGAGATGTTCTTTCAAAGAACAGCATGTTTCCACTCGATGCTCTTTTTTTCTTGGTCATTCAGAACCTGAGGCACAAATTTCAAAATGACCCTTCTCATTCCCACGTTTTCCATTAAAATTCACTGGACCGAGCTCCAAGACCATCCAGATAACTTCCCCATCTCTCCAGTGGTCCATCGCTCTTTGAGCACAAGTGCAGGGATTTTGTCAACATTTTCATCTGTTCAAGAAGTTGATGGGCATGCAAAGCGAGATTTGTCATCAGTCAACATTTCACCTTTTTTGAAACAAGAAAACCACTCATACACTTAAGTTGTTCCCATTGTGCTGTCCCTGTAAGCTGTGTTCAACATCACAACCGTTTCTGTGGCATTTCCCCCAGTAGGAACAACATTTCATAGCCACATGCTGTTCTCTTAAGTCAGTCATCACAAAAAAGCGAGGTTCAATTGAAACTGCTTTTACAGAAAAATTCACTGTGACCAGAGAGAACCTTCCCAGGTGACACCACTGGGTGCACCAACTCAGAGCAAAGTTGCTTGATGCTTGTCTAGTGGTAAAAATGCGTACTACGACAGCTCTGCCCAGTGGGGACTTTTTTCTGGTTTTCTTGGGTACCTCATCACATACTGACAGCTACTGGGTTGAACATTTTTAGAGGGAGAATTTTATAATACATGAATTATATCTCAATAAAGCTATTATGTTTTGAATCTTATTAGTGTACTTTATAGTACATGATTATATCTCAATAAAGCTATTTTTTAATGGTAATGTTTAAAAATATATGACCTGAGTATTAAGGTAGCAGACGGGCATTGGGTCTCCACTCTAGTACTCCCTCAACACAATAACACTTTGTTCTAATAACCTGGCATTCTGTGATGCTCATGTTCCTTACACAATCGCTGAAGTCAAAATGGGTGCATAAGCAAATGTAGTGAAGAAATGTATATCAAAAGATATAGCATGTGGGGTCTTAAAGGCTTGGAGTTAAACAAGTGGCCATCCATCAGGAAAGCAACAAAGCCCACATGGAAGAAGCACACCAGCCTGAGTGATCATGAGGTGTTGATGGGATAAGGTATCAGGCATCAGAAGACCCAAAGCAAACAAATATATCCATGCAAAT